AAAAATGGAGAAGGTCAGCGATGATTCAAGCAGCCTGATATCTCATATGTGCCTTTGATGTCGTAAGGGAATAAGGGGACGATGTTTAGGTAGTGTTGTGTATATCTAGTGGCAGTACACTGACGGACAGTAAAATCTGAAACGGTATTTTGTAGGTGATTAGTTGGGCTTAAAATAAAAAAATCCTGGAGCTAATACGACAATTATTAAGCGAAAGAAACGAGTCAAACGCCTGGTTTCAGTAACCTTGTTTTCAGTTATTGGCATCTACCTTAGTAGGCAGAATTGACGTGTAATTGTTCTCAATATTTCTTCCTAAAACATCCTTTGGCATTTTCCATTTTTGGGCAGCTGGAATTCCCCATGAGATTAACAAATACGCAATAGTATTGCAGTATGCGAAGTACAAACATGAATAATGGGTACTACATTAATTTTGCGAATGCAGTCATTCAACAATATCTGCTTATTACAGTTTCCACCGTAATTGTATTGTTGAGAAGCTGCATAAGCAAAAATATTTATAAAGTTTGAGCCGGATTCCATGAAAATTAAAGGCATATTTTGTCTGGCAAATAAGACTGCTGACCTCCATATCCTCGTTGAAAAGGTTAACACGGCCCACTCAGCACTAAAATATACTACAGAAACGGAGGTGAACCACAAACTCGCTTTCTTAGACGGCCTCCTACAGACACAATAGGTGGTCCTATACAATACCGGATATTCAAAACAAAAACCAGGATGGGTCAGTGAATTAACGTTCACAGTTTTGTTCCCCTTTATCTCAAAATAAAATTAGTCCCCAGCATAACCGCCAGAATAAGATGCACATGCTCTCTTAAAACATTGGAATAAGAATTGTAGCAGCTACAAAGCAGATTCCCCGAAAATAGATACTCCGAAAGCTTTATCCTCCGAATCATCAAGGAACGTGTCACATAGCCTGCCGTTGCATAGACAGAAAAGAAGAATATGTTCAAAAGACTGCGTTTTCTAGGAGGCAAACTAGTAAGTTGACGTGTAAGGATAGCAGTCACGACTGCCTTCCCAGCTGCAAACCTACGCGTTTTCTTCACTTATTCTACCCATTTAAGGATGTGGGCTAATGACCGACTACCGCTGCAGGCCACATCCATGTGCAGTTATCCCTTCACCTGCTCCTGTGAACCAGGATACATTGGTCGAACAACGCGGCGTCTGGAGAACAGTGTGCGTAAACATAAAACAGCCTGGCTTGGCAAACGACAAAATCGATTGACCTCAAGTTCAATCTTCCCACACATGATAATAACGAACTACCAAGTTGACGCG